GTATTATGACATGTAATTTATCAAATAGTATTTTGAACACATGAAGAAATTTCTCCTCATACACAATTTTTATTATTTTTAACTGCATAAAGCAAAAGAAAATTGAGATTCAAAAGTAAAGAGTAAGGCTAGGGTAAACTATATAAATTTGAAAATTTAATGATCATGTCACCAATAAAAAATAAACATGTTAATTAACACTTAGGTAATAATCAAATCATTAATTTTTATGTCATTTTGTTTACAAAATTTTATCTACATATTTAGTAGCATTACTCAAAAGTAAATAAACATGTATGAAAAAAAAACAAAGCATACACAAATCATTTTTTAGATTACTATTCATGTACATGCATTAGGGAATAAGGTGTACATGCACTGACTGCACATATGTTTAGTAGAATATTATAAAGTTCTTTCCCTTGGTCAATGTCATCATTCATTCTTCGTGGGCGTCTATGTGCGTATGCACTATAGACTTTGGTGGATTCTTCCTGACTATAGACTTTGCTGGGATGAATTTTCCTCCACTGCATAATTACCTCTCTCTGTTTACCAAATTAATTTCTTCTCTTCACTTTTCCATTTCTCTTTCTTGAACGTGAAGGATGCATCGGTTCTATTTGCCTAAATGAACTAGGCAACTACTTATAACTTTTTGCAAGACTGCCTGTCAAAGGAAAGTGACAACTCCAACACAGACAACAACATTGGAGATATTTGTAAACTTGGTACATGTTTTATCATATACATATATATATATAGGGAATTGTTATTAGCACTCTAAAAATCTCATTCTACACTTCAAACTTTATATATTATGAAAAAAAAATACACTTGTGAGGAATGTAGAATGAGATTTTTGGAGTGTGAATAACATTTCCCCATATATATATATATATTACAACAAGATCCTCTTTGGATTCTTTTGGTGAGGATCCTAAGAATTCGTAAATCGTGTCATTTATCGTATATTGTGCAGGTCAATTTTTATCAGATTCTATTTGTATTTAATTTTAAATAAAAATATTTAAAATGATTTCTGACTGCACAATGTACGATGAGCAAATATGATTCACAGATTTTCGGGATCCTCACAAAGAGAATTTGGATTCATATATATATATATATATATATATATATTTGTTCTCTGATTATGAACTCCTAAAATCATTGCTAAGATGAATATTGATTTTGGACAGATTTTTAGTCAAATTCCGTGTCCTATTTGGGAGAAAAATCCAAAGCAGATAGTGACTCAAGAAATCACGAATGTTTCACTCCAAAGCCATATATTAAGTTTTGATACTACTCTAGTTACATAAATATGGCTAGTACTATTAAGATCCAGTAGGTTTAGCAAATTATAAAGCTTAAAAAATATAAAACAAAAAGAATAAAAAGGATAATCTCAAAAAATTTACATACAATTGGATTTCCAACATACATAACACTACGTGATAAGTTTAGAACGTTATATTCTGTTAGATGTTTGTAAGTATGTTTCTATAGTGAGAATTGATGAGATCAAAGATGCCAACTAAAATACCAACGAGAAAAACTTAGATGAAATTTAAAACTTAGAAGATAAGCTTAGAACACCACAACTTTACATTCTAGTTGCATGTAATTTGCCCCTCACAGACACGACATGATTTAGTCAATTAAGGCTAAAAATCATATCGCATACTAATCCAAACATGTCAAGGAAACTGGTGCGGTAGCTGACGCTGGGATTCTGAAATTTGGTAACGGCGGCAAGGCGACTGCAGAAGAGAGTAGGGGCAGCGGACACGCGGTACGAGCTCCGACGATCCAACCAGAGGAGAACTCATACGGTGGCGAAACGTGTCGGCGATGATGAAGAAGGAGAGAGAATATCTAGGGTTTTGCGCTGGTGCTTCCAACTTTATCCAAACCTCCATCCTATCGAATCAATTAACTAAATTAAATAATGAATGAGTAAAATCACAATCAGCAACTGAAAAGCAAATGGGGAAGGTGCGCGCACATGTGGCGGTGTCTTTCCTTCTGCTTTCCGTCGTACCATTATCTGACCAGCACAAGACTTCAGTCAAACTTTCGTACGTCAATAGAGAAATTTAGGGTTTCTACTGCAGCTAGCGGTACCTAATCAAACCGAACACAGACATCGACATGCATTTTAACTTTTTGAGTACAAATTAATTATTAATCCTCTCTTCATAACATGTGTTTTAATCTCACCATAATATTAATGGACAAGGATTATCTGCTTTTCTATTTTCGGTGCATTTCCGTATCTTCTTATTTTGTGTAGTCACGGTTAAGCCACGTTAACATTTTATATTATTTTTTTATAGAGATAATAAGACAAAAATAAATAGTAATATAAAATATTGACGTGACTTAATAGACAAGGATTGTCTGCTTTTCTATTTTCGGTGCATTTCCGTATCCTCTTATTTTGTATGATCACGGTTAAGCCACGTTAACATTTTATATTATATTTTTTATAGAGATAATAAGACAAAAATGAATAATAATATAAAATGTTGACGTAACTTAACCGTGACAACACAAATAGAAAGGCACGGGAGGGCATCAAAAATGGAAGAGCAGACAATCCTCGTCCAATATTAATACCTCCATTGTGGCATTCTCCCTTCATGTCTCGTTAGTCACGAAATGATGTTTATTATTAAAAAATATTAAGGAAAATGATGTAATTGTTCTATTTTTTTAATTAATTTAAAAAAGAAAAACAATCATAACCTCTCACATCTTTGTAATCTATAAAATATAGTATAAAACAACGATTTCTCGAGCACCGTCCTGTTAGACGCATAGTAGTAATTCAATACCCAATTTACTAGAATATTGAACTACATGCAGTTACAAATTAGTGTTGAACAATACTAATGACTATAAATATATATCATTTTTGCATCATCATGAATCGAACTTTAAATCTCCTCAAAACTAAATAGAGACCGATGTCTCAAACCATATGATCATGTGCATGTGGTTAAAAGCTTTGCATTCGAAGTCTTATTTTCGATTTCAACCTCTCCTAATATCACCTTTTTTATAAAATAAAAACACAAATTCGAACTGGATATTGTTCTTCCTCTGGTCGGATTCTATGTGGTTTTGGATTAACACAAAATCCTTATAATCTTAATAGCAGAACACTAAAAACTTTCAAGTTTAACAATGGTTGTGCTATGCACACACTTGTTTGCTATCTTCAGAAATAACTTCTCAATTTTCGATTGTATGAATTCAAAAGAATTGAAAAACAAAAATTATCAAAAATATATGAAAAAAAGTATGTGAACAACATTGGCTACGGTTACTTACACATGCGACAAACAAGGAAAAGACATTCCTAATGAAGAGAAAATGTGGAAGCCAAATGCCAAACAGAGCATTCCATTTTTGGACCTAACCATCTTTACAAGAAATAACCTCACTCTCTCTGGACTGGTCCAACTTAGGTGGACCCACTTACAAAACCAAAACAAACGCGTGGGGCCCAATAAACATTCAAAAATTCAAACCACGAGCCTATACATTAAGCTATGAAGAGCAAATGAAGCTTCCTCCCCACCTTTGGATTCTTGACCAAAATCATTATTTTTCTTCTTGTAAGATTTTTCCACATGTTCATCTAAATCATGCTTTTGCTTTCTAACACCTACTTTTGGATTGCTTCCTAACACCTACTTTTAAAGAATTTTTATGTCTCTGGAATACTTGTTTCGTAGTCTATTATTTCACGTGTTACGATATAAGTGAGCGACGTAATTTATACATTTCATTTTGGAGTTAAGAAATGCTAAAAGGACTCACTCAAAAGTGAAACTCTCCATGGACTATCCGCTTCCTCACATTTTAATGTCAACTCTCGCATCAACATTATAAAATACTATCCCAGAAGCAAGAGAGGGTACACTTTTAAAAGAGTCCTACTTAACATTTCTCTTTAGAGATATATTAATAAAAAAATAAGCATGCGTTTAAAAGTGTTTTTAGATCACTAAAAAAGCCCCTATGTTTTTTATAAGAGTAATGTTATTCTTACCATAATTTTATACCATATTTCTTTACCATCTTAGGTGGCAAATGAGTTGGACAAGCTATATCATTTAATTTCAATAGTTTTATTAATTAAAACACTTAAATAATCTTAGGTGGAAGAAAGAAACTCCTCGTATACCACAATCATCATTTAATTAACAATCTTTTTATTAATTATTGATTAACATTTTGAAATTAAATTTAAATGATGTGGCTGTCCACATCAGATGTCACCTAAGGTGGTATACAATTGTGATATAAAAATATGGTAAGAATAGCATTATTGTTTTTATAACAACTCTTGGTTCCTTGGTTTGCCCAACCCAAAAGTTACATTCATCCTTATTTAAAGGATTACTTGAGGACCTAAACAAGATAATTAATTAACATAGCATACCTTAATAAGTTATAAGGCCAGTGTTTCTTTCACATTACACCTATTTTATAACACCTCACAAGAAATTAGAAAATTTTGCTAAGCTTGTAACATTCCCTTTTTGAAAATTGAAACAGAATTTCGCGCGTTAAAAGCCGTTAACTCCGCATAATTTGTCCCCTAATTTCACTTAAGCATCCAACAAAACCATAAATTAAAGCTACATTTCTTGATCAAGCTGACTTCTATGTATTGTGGGACATCAGGAAATACATGGCAGGAAGTGAAAACTTGATACTACAGCGAGGGAAGAGAAGGCCAAAAACAACAAAGTGAATATGCTCCGAAAATCAAACATATTTGAACGTGAAAGGCACGCGATAAGTGACATAAAGACAAGAGGTCATGTACCCCGGACCCCCAGTGACACCATAATGTCATTGCATGTGATGATCGTTGTAGACAGAATATTCTCCATTTTTGGCAGAACGGGTTTCGGCCACAAAATCAAAGGTACAACTTATGGGTGTGCATCACCATCAATCACCAAAACAGAGTGGGATGTGGATGACAAAATACATTACTTGAAACAGTTCAGCATGAATATTTTATAGCGAAAAATAAAACAAATATTAAAAGAAGGCATAAAAATTGTATGAGTGGCAACATATGGGGCCAATGAAACCCTAGTGCACAACGTTTATCACCTTCAATTTACTCATTCAACTTGCAGACATCAATGAACTTCTGGACTGCATTGTGGTATTGAGTTCCCTGTAGCCACCACGCACGTTGGATTAATGACAGCTTAGCATCAATATCGGATGATGGATTATCATATTATACCAAAAATCCTCGTAGTATCAATAGTACACGACGACATCTTTAATCATGTATAAGTTGCTTAGCATACGATTTGATAAACATACCTCCCAGTAAAGTTGGTTGCAGTCCATGCACTGCCAAAACTCTAGATTCTTGTTAAACAAGCAGTTAGGAATTCTTTGGAAACCTTTCGCAGCTTCAACAGCCTCTTCAGTCGTCAAGGGCTTTTGAATAAACCTACCATTGCATTTGGTGCATCTTGACATTAGCTGATCCTCACTAATTTTCAGTTGGAAAGTTTCGATTATCTGCAAGAATACTTCAGAATCAGATTTATCCTGTAACAACGCTTCAATCCTTCAAAGGTTATATCTAGGAACATTGTATTAGCAACGCACTTCAAAAATTATACGAGAACCAAGTGTCTCGGTTGGTAGACTCAACATATCCTTCCCAACTTCGTCAAATACCCAAGTGATCCAAAAATTCTTAAGTTTCTTTATCATTTATAATTTAAACTTTTTAAGAAAAAATCTCAAGCACCAAATACAAATTTCAACTATTATAAACAAATTTACATTGATCGTAATAAGTTGACATGATTATTATTATTTTCTTTTTTCAAATAAAGCCGCATTAAATCCAAAGCCTGACTCAAGGTGGTGAGACTTTATATAAGCTAACCTAAAAGACCATGAACCACTTGCAATATATACTATACAGTAAAATTGTCCAAGCAGAATGCATGTACAAATGCACATCTGATTTTCACTGAAGGCGCAGAAGTTTCAAAATGAAGACGGGCATACCTCAAGTAGCTGTTCGTTCTTGAGAAGACTCTTCACCCTATAGATGTGATTGTTTATTAGATAATCATGTCTCAGCAGCTTGGCATCCCGCGTCAACAGCACTCTCTTCTCTTTATTTGCTTGATCTATTAGCTGCCTGCACAAATTGAAACCAAATTAATAATTCATTACAAAAAAATGTTTAAAACATATTCAAAATCTACAACATTTAACATACAAGAGCATGATCATGAGAATACCTGGGTTCAGGCTTTTTTGAATACGAGATTGCGGCATTGATCCCTACACATCTTAAATGTTTAGCTAAGCCTTCGACCTGAAAATAAGCATGAGCAAACAAGTAGCATGTACATTTCAGCCACGGAAACCCTTTGGTAGGGGACCTTGCCAATCTTCAAGGAAAGTGGATATAAAAACTTACCATCACGTCACATAGAAACTTCGGTTGTCCATCACCCCCCAAGGCCAAATCCCATGGTGGGGGACCTTGCCAATCTTCAAAACTCTGTCCTTGCTTTTCATTACAAATCAAACCCTCTGATGACCGTCCTTTTGCTTTTCTTTTAGAAGTTTTGGCCGTTTTGTCTGATTCTTTCAACAAAATTTTCTCCCCATATTCGTTTACAACCTTCAAGAGGTATTCATCCATGGGAAGGGTATTCCTATGCCCTAACCTCAATGTCATTCCCTTTTCCGTAACTATATTAGGAGATACATAAGAAGCAGTAGCTCGGGCTATATCTATAGCTTCATGAACTTTCATCCTTACAATTTTACTACATATATAAAGCTTCTCAAAAACCACTTTCAACCCAAGAGTCACAGTTGGGGGATGAGGTTCAGAGGGATGGCGAACTAGTTTCCCTGCGATGAGAAACCAATCATTTTCCTTTATCAACATAATATAATGTAAGAAAATGTGCAACGAACGCATAAACACGAGTATAAAAATATATATTTAGCATGACTGACCTTCCTTGATGACTTTGGCTTGGAAGACATTGAATATCTCAATCAAGCAGTGTGCATCCATTGCTGCATATGTTTTCTGCTCTTCTGTAAGAGGACGACATGACCAATCACTACATTGGAGTTCCTAAACAAGACATATTATACATTAACACATTTTTATAGGAACTAAAAATTCCCATCCCTTTTTTCCATCATGTGGTTAAAAGTCTAAAACTTTCGATGCAGAGTAACACAGAAACTTTGAATTACGGAAAATCGAAAACCTTTCCAAAACCAAACCTTTGTAAGAGAAATTCCAAGGACTTCTTTGCAAATACTTGCTAAACTCTTGATTTGCTTGGAGGCCTTCCTTCCATGTTGCTTGTGCTGCAGGTGATTGTACATGCTCGTAATATCCATAAATGGCTCCACCTGTTCACCAAAATATCAACCGAGCAATGATCAAAACAGAGGAAGATGATAAAAAAAAGTTTCTTGATTTTTCGCTAAAGGGTTGGATTAGATTGCAAAATTTAAGACAGCCCAAGTCCCAAAATCTAAACTTTCGCTACAGTTTCTGCAAAACATGAAATTTTCTTACCCTGTCGAACCCAGGTTCGCAGCCATTGGAGCTGAAGGTGGAGGACAAGTATATCAAATCCTGCTTAAATCGAAAACCCAGTTTCAGAATATCGGGGGAAATGAATGCGTCCCTCAACAACTCCCAGACCGACGGCAGATGAATGGTTGACAGGTCAAGCAGGAAGACGACTGAGTCGTCCGACTCGTCCGAGTCTCCGCCGAGTCGGGAACCTAGTTGACAGGCGAGTTGGAGGAGGAGGACGGTCGGGAAAGACGACTGGGGGGTGCGGGTGCGGATGGGCTTCCACTCGGCATCGAGCGCAATGATTCTACAGCGAGTCAGAGACCGAGTTAAGTTAGTGAACTCGGGTGAGTCGGTGGATGAAACTAGTTGGATATTGAGGGGCCTTTGTGGATCCATGGAAAAAGTGACACTAGTTTCATTCCTCATAATTCGATGAGGGTTTTGGGTTTTTTCATGGGTCAAATATGTTGAATAGGGTAAATTGCGTTTGACCCTTTCATCATTAGCCCAATTGAAAGTCACCTCCTAAAATATTTTTTGAAAAATTAAAATCCTCAACTATTTGAAACTTAACAGTTAACCTTTCACTATCATATTGGATGAAATTTCATCCACTATGCTGTCAAATACTGACACAGCTTTGTTCTCAAGAGTGAATCACGTACTAGTCACGACAAAACTTTACCTTCAAGAGTGAAGTACGTTTTGGTCACGTGCCAGTATTTGACTCAAAGTCAATGAAATTTTATCTAATTAGACAGTGAGAGGTTAATTAGCAAAGTTTAAATATTTCAAAGGTTAATTTAACGAAAAAATAATTCAAAGCGTCAATTCAATTGGGGTTATAATTTAGGGGGTAAGACGACAATTTACTAATGTTAATATCCTAAATGCACATAAATGATCCATTTATCACCTTTAGTACTGACTACAATAATAATATGTATTTGATACAATCAGCATCAGGCAGTTAGATATAATTCATGTAAATATATGTATTTAATACATCACCCAACTTAGCATACCCTAGGGCCAACTTAGCATACCCTACAGCCCTTGGCTAGAAATCAGCGTAGAAGAGTGGTGAGTAAATGTAATACAAATAGCTTAACTATGTCGATTTGCACTTAGAATTAAAAACCGAAAGTTATAGACATTCTAACATTTACGGTTTGTTGAAAATTTAGAGGAAAAAAACAAACTTTACATCGAAAATAAACTATCAAATTTGTTATGACTCCTTTATTTTTTATTCAATCAATTGTTCAGCAAAATTCAAAATAGTTGCTCATTTTCATTGTGAATCTAGCATTTTATTAACGTATGTGTTATAAAAATCACGTGATATAATTAGCAGAAAATTATGACAGAATTAACAATCAGAACTATTATCTTGAATTAAAAGTTTAAAGAGGCTTAAGACCAAATTAGGAGGTACGGTGGAACAAGGTCCAAAACGTAACTTTATGGGCTCAAATATTTTAGCCCAAGCCCAGTCCAATAGGAAACAGTTGCGCCAAATAATAAAGAAACGAGCCCATGCTCGCTCCAAACGAATCCAAATTAGCGCGCGAAATCTCCCCATTGGTTAAATAGCACAACGCAAACACCCTCGCTCGCCCGAACCCGGAAGAAAAATGGTGGCGTTGAGGAGAAGAACGCAAGCCCCGAAGCCTCCCTCTCCCGTTCAAATCGTTGAGGACAATGTACATTAGCAGCATTTGTCTATGAGTTTCTGCAAATGTATGACACTCGAAAAAAGCATGTTCGATTGTTGTCTCTCACTTTCACATATCCATAAGCTGCTTCTAGAGAGTGATGTTAAATTCGTAGATGTGTTCTCGTTATTCTTGTAGAGAAATTCTAGCATGTCGTATTCGATTTTCCAAACTGTACATCTCTGATATTGTTGCCTTCCAGGTTATGTCGAAAGAAGATATTGAAACGAGCTCGTTTGGATGTGCTTTTAAAATGACTGAAAGCGTTTTTAGAAGAAAAAAAAAATTTAGATTCCAAAAGCATTGAAGTGTTTTCTGCAAGAAGCACCAGTTATATGCTTCTTCCATGAAACACTTAAATTTTTTTTTTTTAGAATTTATTTACATTTTTACCAATGATTGGTTCTAAAAACATTTTCATCAAAAGCGTTTTCAATCATTTTAAAAGCACACCAAACGAGCTAGAATTTGTGCAAAAGCATGATGGAGAGAGGAGAATGTCCTCCCCTCGTGGTTGTTTTCGATCCTGGAAACAACAAAACATTCTCTCTTGTAGTTGATGTACCTGGACTCCCTGATTCAGTATTACGACTGATTTCACAGGTTCACCGTTGAGGCTGATAAACACATAAGGGATTTGACATTAATCACAGAATATGCTGGAGATGTCGATTATCTGAAGAACCGCGAAAATGACGATGGAGACAGCACAATGACATTGCTTTCAGCAGGTACACCTTCAAAAAGCCTCGTCATTTGTCCCTACAAGCATTGATAACACTGCGCGCTTCATCAACGGAATCAATAATCATGTACCGAAAGCTATCCCCCGCTCCAAAACTCGATATTCTGCCTTCATGTGTAAATTAGTTGCCTGCATAGCGATTTGATTAGTTTTTTACTAATTGGATGATGCCTATGCGACGACCTGAAGTTACTGTGATTGGTGCAGTGACGGGAGGAAGAAGCAGAACTTGAGGTGTGTAAGATTCAATGTACAATGGCGAGTCTCGGGTTTTACTGATTGCGAATCTAGATATAACAAAGTGGGAGAGATTGTATTATGATTACAATGGATATGAGAATGAATACCCAACTGGCATGTTGTGTAGCCTTTGTTTATGACACTGATCAAGAGCCAAATGGAGCTAATGTGCCCCAACAGGCTAATTGTATACTCATGACTGTTATGTTAGACCACAATTTTTCTTTTTAACAATATGATCTTGTATTCTAAACTATTCTACGGGGGTAAGGCTCCAACTCGGCTAAAAAAAGATAAGAACACCGTCTTGGCCAACTGGCTGAATCCTCATTTGCATTTGACAACAATGATTTGATGGTTTCAATTCAGAGTTGTGAATTGAAGAAACTGGGAATGAAAATTTGAGGTTCTCCATTTAAAATGGCCAAAGTTGTAGTTTATTTGATTAAGAGAATTTACTTTTGTATTTGAGGTTTTATTTTCGATGACTTCTCTACGAAAATGAACTTGGGTAAAGATGGAATTTGGGCTTGGGTAGTTTAGCCCTAGGTCCCTCCTGATGTACAACTGCAGCCCATATCTAAAAGCCGAGCGCAAGCCCATTAGTTGTTTGAAATACCATAAAATCCATCTCGTACACCTATATTACTTTCCGTTGACAATCCTATCATCGGATCTGTGGCGCAATGGTAGCGCGTCTGACTCCAGATCAGAAGGTTGCGTGTTCGATTCACGTCAGGTTCACTTTTTACCAACATTTGGATTTTTTTTCCTTCTTTTCTTTATTTTGTGAAGATTCCATCAATGTGCATCTCTAGATATAGGTTCACTTTTTACCAACATTTGGATTTTTTTTCCTTCTTTTCTTTATTTTGTGAAGATTCCATCAATGTGCATCTCTAGATATAGATCAATTCGTGAGGTTTTGATCCGATACAATAAGATGTGCTTGCTTGCGGGGAATGAAATGCACTTGTCGATTAGCGAAACCTTTTCTATAATACAAATCTCGAAAACACATTTACAAAAACTTGGCTAATAAAAATGTTTCGTGCTATACATTAATCAAAAGATTGGAACCATTTGAGTTTTATCTCCTAAGATATAGAATGATACATAAAGTGGCGAGACCATAATGAGGTCATTGTAATCGGAAAACCTCAATAACTTGTAATATATTTCAGTAAGCTTGAATTATCATACATTTGTTCAACGCTAATATTTAAGCCTTATTTAAAATGAGGGGTAACGTGATTGATCGAAATGGCTGAAAAAGTTCTTCAATAAGAGTTTCTTGACAGGTCATCATCAAGCTAAATTATATCGTTGTTATAAATTTTCAATCGTATATTATTGTATGCTAAAAAGAACTGAGCGATCACATCATAACGGTCCATTCGTACAAGATCTGAAAAGTCGAAATGGCTTTTTGGCACCACCAATGTACTCATGATTACGGTGGTTGAGTTTGAGAGTGAAGAAATTCAAGATCTAACTCAGTTCAAATATCCAGCACACTTCTCTGGCGTACTTGTAAATTATCATCAAGTTCAGGACCACTTTAGTCTTTATGTGTCCAGGAAAAAACAGTTGTAGCCATAGCTAAGCTCAGAGTGGTCCAAAACCAGAAGCTACCATAACCGCAGTAGTAGCTGATCAGCTGGGAAAAGCATCTTTTGCCGTCAGATCTTGATCAGACGCTCCCCTACAATTGTGGTCCCAACAACGACACTAAATTCTTGCTACCCAAATAATTAGTTGTGACTGCATGTAACTGTGGTCCTGTTTCAGAAAATATGAACTGGATTTTGTGTACTTGTACTTGGTGCTTGGAAGCTAAAGCCAACAGGTAATATCTGTTACCACAGATTTTTCACCAGATCTCCAATCCCAATGAAGGCTTGATTAATGGAATAAATGTCGTTTGCCCCCAGTGTGGATTAAGTCTCATTTTAGGTAACTCTGTTAAAATTTACACCACGTATTTACCTATTTAAACCCTTTTGTATTAGATGGAAGTTACAACAGTATTACGTACGAGTTTAGAAAATTCAGTGAGTATTGGTCCTTGAACGCATTACAATATAGAGCAATAGTCCACTATGTAAGTTGTAACGCAATTAGAACGCTCGTCTAAAATAAAGGGTTTAAACCTTTTATACTTCAAAATATTAATGAACAAAAATTTGTGTTTTCTTAAAAAAAAAAAAAACTTGAAAGTAATTTATTAGATATGTTTTTTTTTTTTTTCATAAAGCACTACAAAAATAGTTTTCTAATATAGAAACACTTTAAATTATTCATGTCAAAATTGTCAAAAACGGTTTTTAAATTTCGCGAAGTGCTTCTAATGTTTATAGAAGCATTTTCAAGTAAGTCTATTATTGGATTACTTTACTAACAATATGAAAGTTGAGAGTATAAACCTCGAATTGAAAAATCAAGAAACATTACACGTGCTTACAAAGAGTTAAATTACTGTTAATGTCAATCAATTTTACGATAAAACATCAATTCCGTTGAGAATTTCCTTGCCTAAAGACAAAATGGGCAGTGGGGTATCCATTCTACTAAATTAACAATACAATACAATATTGCAAAGAAATGGACCTAATCGGACAATCCAATCAGCCTGTTTGGTGGAAACTGTCTAACACTTAATCCCCACCACAGGCACGACCATGCTTCTTCTT